ACCATTCCAGTCAAACCGTGGGTAAAATAACCAGTGTTTGCACTTGTATCCTGATGCAAAAGGAAAGATTCTTATTACACTTATGGAAATAACTACAGTGTCATAAATTAAGAATATTCACAAATAGTTTCTGGAGAAATTAGGTATAGAGAAACAAATATGCTTCAAACGTTATTCACAGCAATATATTTTACTCAATTGCTATGAGCTACAAATAGCTCAAAAGATAAATTTCCTTAACTCTGAAAAACAAAACTAAGGATCAGCAGCATTTTAAGCAGTTAAAAAGATTGCTTTAGTCTTCTATTGGTTCAGCTAATTCAGTTAACGCCTGTTCTGCTTGATATTCATGAACATTTCAGCTTTCCATGAGAGTTTTGACATTGTTTTCCTTTATTTTAATGTCACAATTTCCAAAGTTATCAGAAACCTGCATTTAAGAACATCTGTTAGAGTTCTATAGTTGATTATAAACCACATTTTGAAGAGGATTAAAATAAGACAACAATTGTGTGTGGATGACAAAAGTCTTAGGATGGCCACTATTAAAGTCACAATTGATTAGGAAATTTAGTTCCTTCTGTGGCATATAATGATTTTATATAACTATAATTATTCATAATGTACACTAAGTCATATCAGAATTGTAAGACTTTTAAAAATAATTTTGGATACTTACCAATAACACATTTATACAATTACAGCCCAAAGAAATCCAAACACCATTTTATATTTGATAATGCTTCCAGTATGATTTTTGTACCAAATAAGCCAAACATGACTGTTGCATTAGTGCATTATTGATGACAAACCCAATTCTTTATAAAACCTTTTAGACAAATCGGTTTGACTACAAAGTAAGATTTTCACAAACCTTTTATAACCCTTTACATATTTTTGTTTTTTTCCTTTAATTTTTACATATTTTTGTTAAAGAGCAAATCATAGCTGGTTTTTGCTCTTAAAAAAACTTGTGCTTTTATTCCAATGTTTTATTTATAGAAAAACTGAATACCCCTTTCACTTTAGCCGATATATTCGCACACAGAATCTCCTACAATTAATTTTTCACAAACTTTCCACAACTTGCTTAAACCTTCAGCTTCATTCTAACTTAAAATAATAATGTAGCCATTTAATCCAAGAAAGAAAATTTACATTTCCATGACTTCTAGTAATCTTTTACCAAAACACATTTCATTTTCCTTACACACCTTATGTGTAGAACTCTTCCTCAGTATTTCAGTTACATGTTACAATGTTAACATTTAGTGATTTTTTACTTTTGGTGAAGACCCTGGTTTGTAAGCATTTTAATTATGTACTAGGTGTGGAGCCTAGGACACAGACAGAAATGCAGATAAGGTCTGACTTTTTCCAGCATTGCTAGTGGGTATGGGTAACACCACATGTCCCCAGGCCTTATCTAGAATCTAATGTCGTCAAAGTAGGTAAATTGAGCAATTTTCTAAAGTAAAAGAAGCAGCTTATGACCATAAAGCATTTGGCAAACCTTGTAACTGACCTGCATAACTTAGACCAAATGTTTAAATTTTAAGATATTTTAATTTTACCAATAATCTTTAAAACTGTCATTTCCCAAAGATTACTTAAGTCGGATGAACTAAATAAAACGCATTATACATTTAATTTTTCTCACAAAAATATGACGTAAGGGCTTACTATTTTTTAACCAATTAATCAAAGCTCTTTTATATATAAACATCACACACATGATATATACTCATACAGATAAAAGATAAAGGACTCATTTCCTAAGATGAGAATTAAACCCTGAACCCGGGCCACCACTATGAAAGAGAAAGCACAGCCAAATGGTTACAAGGTCAAGCTCCCAAGGACATACCAGACAAGAGGGAAACCTCATCCAGTTTTTTTTCGAGGACTTGCAGCAAAGTTTGTAATTGACCAGTTTGCTGGTCCATTTTGAACAGCAGGCTTATAGGTGTCCTAAGCCCATGTTCTATCCTAAGGTATCCTTCTTTATGACAGAACAATACCGAATGACAGACGAAACACTCCAGATTGGCTACAGTTTAAGACTAGCCTCTCAAATCCTTTCTTCCATTAGTCAAAACTTTGTAAGAAATAGTGATTTTTGCCATTCCTACAACCAGTTTGCACAGAGAGATGAAAGTATTGTCTGAGGCAGGGTGGGGAAGGGGAGGCGCTCAGGGAAGCCAGAGAAAGACCCACCCATTGCAGTGACAGTGCAAAATTCAGTCGGCTGCTTCTCGGTAGTGAAGGGATCTTTTCCAGTAGTTCTGTCAGTCTCAAGTTTCCCCTTTATGGGAAGAAAAAGCTCCTCATATCCATGATCCCGTACATGCCTAACCCTGTCACCCTCAGCTGTCAGCAAGGAGTACAAGGCAGATTATTTCAAGGAGAACAGAAGTTAACATTCCGTAGTGCCAAACTTGTTCTTAGCCGAAAGGGACTTTACGGAGAGTGGCTTTTCAACCCCTAAATCTTAGAAGGGACTCTAATCCTCCTAAGTCGGGCCTCTAACCCAATCCCATTCCTTATCTGGGTATCCTACCACTTACCCAAAGTTGTCCAATCAGTGCTGCAGTCTACCTCCTTTGAGTCAGGGGTCTCCTCAGTAACATCCCTCTAGGGTTCACCTGCTTACAAACCAGGGTCTTCACCAAAAGTAAAAATCACCAGAAAGATATTACCAGACCCCACCACTTACCCAAAGTTAGCCTTTGGGTCAGGGATTTTCACAGTATAGTCCATTCTGTAGTCGCCAAAAAGATATTACAGGATCCCACCACTTACTGGGGGCTTATGCACTATAATCCCATCTGGGTCACCAGAAAGATGTTACAAGAAAGGAATCCGGATTCAGACCCCAAGAGAGGGTTCTTGGATCTGGCACAAGAAAGAATTCAGGGCGAGTCCATAGAGTAAAGTAAAAGCAAGTTTATTAAGAAAGTAAAGGAATAAAAGAATGACTACTCAGCTTTTGCTTGTGCTCACAGTTCTCTTCCATTTAAATCTTAGTATAGTTGTTCTCAAAGTGTGTATGGGGACTGACACTTTCAGAGAGTTGGCTAGGTTAAAACTATTTTCATAATAATCCTAATGCAATATTTGCTCTTTTCATTTCATTCTCTTGTGAGTATAATGTCAGGGAAATATAATTTTTTCCCATGAAAATGTGTTACCACATAATGGTTTTATTGTCGATATCTTAAATGAGTTGATAACTGTTTTTAAAATTTGTTTTCATTTACAACATGGTAAATATTGAGAGCTAAAATCCACATGAACAAAAGCAATTTTGGGATCTTCAATAGTTTTTAGGAGTATAAAAAGTTCTTGAGATAAACGTTTGAAAACCGTTGCCCTTATCTGCCAAGTACAGGAACTCCTACTTACCACATTTGTTATCAGAGGATTAGACAATGAATTGAAGTTAGTCTTCTTTGAGTAATAACTTGTCTTAATTGCAAAAATAATCTCCTTCAAGATAAACTATAGCTTTTGGCCAGAATGTCATTTAGAAATGCAGCAAGTGTTAATACAGGATTTCTATTTGTTTTTCTTGGTGATGTGTAATGGAAATAAACACAATCCTAGTAAAAGGAGAGGCATAAATGTGGAATGGATTTGGAACAGTGTCTAGCATAAGAATAAGCCCTTAACACAGGTAGTGATTATTACCCTTTCACAGTCGCTATTCATTTATTCAAGTATTTATTGAGTACCATATGCCAGGCTAAATGGTCTGTATTGGGGATTCAGTAATGGGCAAAACACAAACAATTCTGCCTTCAAGGACTTTATAGTCAAGTGGGAGAGGCAGTTGAATCATGACATAAAAATTCTAATTCCAAATTGTGATAAGCAAACGAAGTGATAGACGAAGATTTCACCTGATTTTTTTTTTTTTTTTTTTTGAGACGGAGTTTCGCTCTTGTTACCCAGGCTGGAGTGCAATGGCGCAATCTCGGCTCACCGCAACCTCCGCCCCCTGGGTTCAGGCAATTCTCCTGCCTCAGCCTCCTGAGTAGCTGGGATTACAGGCACGCGCCACCGTGCCCAGCTAATTTTTTGTAATTTTTAGTAGAGACGGGATTTCACCATGTTGACCAGGATGGTCTCGATCTGTTGATCTCGTGATCCACCTGCCTCGGCCTCCCAAAGTGCTGGGATTACAGGCTTGAGCCACCGCGCCCGGCCTCACCTGATTTTCAGTCAGTAAAAGCTTCTCTGAAAGCCCACTTGAGTTGCAATTTGGAAAACAGGCAGGAGGAATTAAGGAGACACAAAAGAAAGAGTAGCATGCTAAGCCTGTTTAAACACACTGCAGTAGAAAGAGAATGATGAGGGGGCCAATGCAGCTGAAACCTAAAGAGTCAGGGCCAGAGTGGTAACTGTTTAATGGCAAAAACCACAACTACTTTTGCACCAACCTAATAGTAGTACATTAGAGCCCAAGCCATTGGGGGGATTTTTAAGGCTTTGCCAAGAATTTTAGATTTTTATCACATGATCAGTGGAGAGCCATGGAAAGCTTTAGGAAAAGTGTGACAACCTTAGATTTGTGTTTTCAAAAGATCACTGGTACTGGGGTGTAGTGCAGGGGTCACAAGCAGGGAGACTATTTACAGGGCTATGGCAGTATCCCAGTGAAAGATGGTGGGAGTCTGGAACAGTAGAGACAGAAAGAAGTGGATGAATTTGGGACGGATAATATTTCGGAAGCAGGGCCACAGGGCCTGGTGATTAATTGAAACTTTAGCAGAAGAATCACACAAAGTCGAAGACCCTCCCCAGCAAAATCAGCTAATGGGTTATTGATAAGTTGCAAAATCTTCCCCATTCTCCCTTGGCAAAGATTCAAAAGCCCTGGTGATGCTTAGGGCAGACAGTGTACTCAGTCCACACAAAGTGCGTGCACAAGGCCGCACCCAAGACTTTATTCCCTGCACGTCAGCGGCATGGAAGCGCAAGGTTTCCTGGGCAACGCCATTGTCACAGCTCCGAGGAGGCGGGGTTGATAGCTAAGGACAACGGCCAGAAGAGAACTCCAGAAGAGAGGGAGAGTCAGAGCAGGAGGAAAAATGGGCAACACGCGCTGCGGCTCCCGCCATTGCGGGTGATTCGAGGACTCAGCACCAGGCGAGAATAGGGACCGGGGAGAGCCAGAAAACCCCGCCTGTGATTGGCCATCCCGGGGTATCTGTCGTTTGTGATTGGGTGGAGCCGAGACAAAGAGCTGCGTTTTGAACCGCGTAGGGTTCTGGGTAGCAAAGGCCTTCGAAGGGTCTTAACCGAAAGGTAGTGTGGGAAGGTCGCCAACAAACGGCTGAGCTCACAATCCCGGCCGGACTAGGCCGGGGTGTCCCCCTGCCCCATGGAGAGAGCCAGGCCGGAGCCGCCGCCTCAGCCGCGCCAACTGCCGCGGGTCCCTCTACCGCGTCCGTTGCGTCCCGCTCCGCCCCCGCTGCCGGTCGAGGGCGCCTCCTTTTGGGCAGCGGCCGGGGACCCCCCTCCGTCGCCGCCCACACCGGGCGTGGCAGCCATTGCGACACTGGCTTCCTCGTGCGGGGAGGCGGCGCGGCGGCTGGTGCAGGTGAACCCGGAGCAGGTGTTGCTGTTACCACAGCCTCAGGCCGGGGACGAAGACGGCGCCGCCTCGCCCGCGCAGGCGCGGGTGCTGCAGTTCAGGCCCGACCTGCTGCTCCTGCCGTCGCCGGCCGCGTCCGAGGGCGCCCCCTTCAGGCCCGAGTTGCACCCGGTGCAGCCGCGGGTGCTCCATGTCAAGGCCGAGAAGCAGGAGCTGGGGCCTGGCCTGGATCCGTCGGTGGGGCCTCAAGGGGCGGTGGAGACCGGCCCTAGAGCCTCCAGGGCGGTCAAGGTGGAAGGCCGTGGGCCCGCCCTCGACTACTTGCGAAGGAACGAGAAGGGCAAGCTGGAGACGGAGGCGGTCGTGCGGGACGCGATGCAAGGCAGGGAAAGCAAAAGCCCAGTGGCCACCCTAGGTGTGATCAAAACCGAGGAACCGGAGAGACTCCTGGAGGACTGCAGGCTCCGCGCCGAGCCCGCGTCTGATGACCTGGTTCATGGCAGCGCGGAGGTCATCCTGGCCCCGCCGACCGGTGCCTTTGGGCCGCACCAACAAGACCTGAGGATCCCTTTGACTCTCCACACCATTTCCCCTGGGGCCCGGATCCAGTTCCAGGGAGCTCCGCCTTCAGAGCTGATAAGATTGACCAAGGTCCCCCTGACACCAGTGCCTATTAAAATGCAGTCCTTACTGGAGCCTTCTGTAAAAATTGATACCAAAGATGTCCCGCTCACCGTGCTGCCCTCAGATGCAGGTATTACACAGCAGGGGAGTCTGATTTTGAAAACTGCGCCTGTGTTGCCACATAGCTGATAATGTCAGCCGTTCTCAAGTCTAAACTACAAAAGTAAAGCCATCAAACGGATTCTTTTCAGGGCAGAGTCTGTACAGGTGTCACTTCTGATCGACTTGTACATGTAGCAGTAAAATAGACGAACATCTTCAAGATTCTCAAGTATTTTTTTTTTTTTTTTTTTTTGAGACGGAGTTTCGCTCTTGTTACCCAGGCTGGAGTGCAATGGCGCGATCTCGGCCCACCGCAACCTCCGCCCCCTGGGTTCAGGCAATTCTCCTGCCTCAGCCTCCCGAGTAGCTGGGATTACAGGCACACGCCACCGTGCCCAGCTAATTTTTTGTAATTTTTAGTAGAGACGGGGTTTCACCATGTTGACCAGGATGGTCTCGATCTGTTGACCTCGTGATCCACCTGCCTCGGCCTCCCAAAGTGCTGGGACTACAGGCTTGAGCCACCGCGCCCGGCCTCAAATATTTTTTTAAAAATCTATTTTAAGGCCCGTTTAGATAGGACGAATTTGTTGTACACAAAAATAGAAGTATTCTTGCTAGACAACACAGAGCCCTCAGTTTATATGCTACAAATAAGATTAAACATACTGTATTATAGTAGCTCACTACTTTTATATGTATCAAGATATAGAAGAAATAATGATGTTTAATGAAAAAAGTGATAATTAAACTGGAAAGTTTATACCAATTATAGAGGCTATCTTTAGAAATGAACAATCAACATTCTAGCAGAAAACAATATGTGATTCAACGTAATATTTTAGTGTTTATTCCTCTGAAAGGTAAGAACTTATAGAAATATTGAAAAGAATACGGTAGAATGAGCTATAAAAAAATGTTTTTAAAGAAATGACCAGTTATAGCGGTAACAAGTACCAATAGATGTTTTTATTTCTATCCAGTATTTCCAAATATATTGTTAGTAAATTCTTATTTTAAGATTTAGTTCACACAGGATGCTTTGCCAGTGCACATCTTGGAAAGTCATATTCATCTTTGGTTCATATTTTCATTAACTTTGTTTTTTTTTAAATTTTATTTGTTGATTCTTCCCCTCCACTCTACCCTGTTGCTTTTATCTTTAGTATTTTTTAGACCTTATTTTCATTTTCTAAGGGAAAGAAAGGGAAAGCTTTCTTTATACTACGTATTTCATCCTTAGTATTTTCAAGAAATTTTTTATATTTAGTAATCCTAAAATAATATAATAAATGTGTGGACAGTTTTGATAAACTACATGAGAGATGAATTTAGATAACTTCCTTTGTTGAAATTTCAACTGGCTCTATGACTTTTTTTTTTTTAATTTTATCTTATCAAAAAGAGATGCTGGTATTGAACTCCTGGGCTGAAGCAGTCCTTCGCCTCAGCCTCCCAAAATACTGGGATAACAGGTGTGAGCCATTGCACCTGCCTTCTGTGACTTTCAAAAAATTACTAATATTATTGTGAGATGGAGTCTCACTCTGTTGTCCAGGTTGGAGTGCAGTGGCATAATCTCAGCTCACTGCAACCTCCGCCTCCCAGGTTGAAGCAATTCTCATGCCTTAGCCTCACGAGTAGCTGGGACTACAGGCATGAACCACGATACATGGCTAATTTTTGTATTTTTAGCAGAGATGGGGTTCCATCATGTCGGCCAGGCTGGTCTCCCAACTCCTTACCTCAGGTGATCCACCTGCTTTGGCCTCACAAAGTGCTGGGATTACAGGTGTAAGCACCGTAATGGGCCCAAAAAATTATTTTTATTATTTTCTCTAATTTTTCTCCCAGGACACAGGACAATTATCCATGTATGGTGGTTCATGCCTGTAGTCCCAGCTACTCGTGAGGACTAGTGTTGATGATTCAATGTGGTAGGAGCTTCACCTTCATAGTAAAATACAACTAATATAGTACTACAATATTATACATATTTTTGCTTGAAAGGACACTGGAGCAGCATGTAGATGAGTTGCTGTGAACATTTTTAGAGAACCTCTACCTAGCTAAGATTATAGTGATGAGTAAGTCACGCATGGTTCCTGTTCCTTAATGAAATATTTTTATTGGGAAATGAACCAAATGTTAATTATTGTTAGAGATATTAATAATACAGGTCAAAGAAGTAATAAGCCAGCAATTTACTGTCTTCAACATGATTATTTCCTCAATATCTTAAACAATATCATTCTCTTTGAGGAAAAGAAGTCATTCCAAAGTACGGTTCAGAATGGCAAGTTCAGGGGTTGTAAGCAATGTTGGAATACTGGCAGGTTTTTTGGTTATAGAAGTGTACATTTTCTCCAGATATTTCAAAAATAAGTATAGATGGAGGCATACTTCACCTTAAAATTGTGTGTGTATGTCTCATTAATTTAGTCTCTTAATTTTTGTCATGTAGGCATACCAGATACTCCCTTCAGTAAGGACAGAAATGGTCATGTGAAGCGACCCATGAATGCATTTATGGTTTGGGCAAGGATCCACCGACCAGCACTAGCCAAAGCCAACCCAGCAGCCAACAATGCAGAAATCAGTGTCCAGCTCGGGTTAGAGTGGAACAAACTTAGTGAAGAACAAAAGAAACCCTATTACGATGAAGCACAAAAGATTAAAGAAAAGCACAGAGAGGAATTTCCTGGTAATCAAATGAAATAATGCCTCTTCTTTTAAATGAATTTATTTAGTTAAAGATTAGGTTAGGTTGAGATTGAAAGACAAAAATGTATAGGTTTTTTTGAATATGTACAACAAAGGAATAATGAATATTATAACAATGATTGAAATGACACTGGGCATGAGTTTCCTTAAATAGAACTAAGCAAAGGGATATCTGATTTCATATCCACCAACCCATACAAATCAGAAGACATGCAGTTTTATTTTGTGGTTTGACCTAGATAGATATAAATTTAATGAAGATATAAATTTAATGAAAGTACATCTCCAAAGTTTTAGGCTATAATTTTTCAAGTAAACTATAGAAATGTTAAAATGATAGCAACAGGAAAAAAATGCAGTACACACTTAAGGAGAATGAGGGAGTATTACCATATTCCATTTTAACATATGATTGTTAGAACATAGTCCTGTCTTCTGATTGGTAGATTTAACCCCATCATGATACAGTGTGAAATGAGTCCGATTTGTCCCCAGCAGTGAGAACATTGGAATTAGGTTTGGGAAAATGCACTGTGTATGGCCAGCATGACTGTGCAAGGTGGGACAAACATTTTTTTCTGAAATATTGGCAGAGAGGTTCTGGGAACGATGGTCAGAGGCAGCAACTATAGGGAACCAGTGATTGTTACACAGTGGCTGCAAATGCCATAGTTCCACTGTTCTGACTTTGGAAGAAACTGAGTTATTTGTGGACTTGGAGATTGCTGAGTCTAGGAGAGTGACTCTTCTTGAACTAGGCATAAAAATAGTGACTGATCATTACTGATTATTGTATTGTAAGATACAATAATCACTTTCTATAAGTGTAAATAATCCTCACTTTCTGTAAGATACAATTGAATATATCAATTGTATCTTTCAGAAAGTGAGGAAACAGGATATAAATAATGTCATAGTGAGGCATTGTTTCATAAGGTAGAGGAAAAGCTTTGGGATTCAAGTATATCGGTTTTGATGTTGACTCTACTACAGATTCGTTCTGTGTCATTGGTTATAAAACATTTGACCCTCTTCCTTTCAATTAGGAGTTATAACACTGGCCACTAGTCAGGAGCTATTTGGATATGTATGTTAAAATATACAGTGGAGCAGTCATTTACTGAAATAGTATCCCAGAGTTGGAAAAGATACTTTAGACAGTAATTTATTTTTAAAAACTTTAAAGTGCTTTGCATTTTAATATGAAAAAATATTTAAAGGCTAAATAGAGTCTATACATTTAAACGTATTTTATCTTCTATAGGTTGGGTTTATCAGCCTCGTCCAGGGAAGCGAAAACGCTTCCCTCTAAGTGTTTCCAATGTATTTTCTGGTACCACACAGAATATCATCACTACAAATCCTTCAACAGTTTTTCCTTATCGCTCACCTACATACTCTGTGGTAATTCCCAGCCTGCAGAATCCCATCACTCGTCCAGTTGGTGAGTTAGTTTTATTGTAGATGACTATTTTTTAAATAGCTGCAAGAAAATTTTACCTCAACTTGAAGTTTTCTTTCTGTTAGTCTTAAGAATTTGGAACAACTGATGCTGGAGAGGATGTGGAGAAATAGGAACACTTTTATACTGCTGGTGGGAGTGTAAATTAGTTCAACCATTGTGGAAGACAGTGTGGCGATTCCTCAAGGACCTAGAAATAGAAATTCCATTTGACCCAGCAATCCCATTACTGGGTATATATCCAAAGGATTATAAATCGTTCTACTATAAGGACACATGCACACAAATGTTCATTGCAGCACAGTTTACAATAGCAAAGACCTGGAACCAACCCAAATGCCCATCGATGATAGACTGGACAGGGAAAATGTGGCACATATGGCACACCATGGAATATTATGCAGCCATCAAAAACAAAGAGTTCATGTCCTTTGTAGGGACATGGATGAACCTGGAAACCATCATTCTCAGCAAACTGACACAAGAACAGAAAATCAAACACTGCATGTTCTCACTCATAGGTGGGTGTTGAACAATGAGAACACATGGACACAAGGAGGGGAGCACCACACACTGGGGTCTATTGGGGGGATTAGGGGAGGGACAGCCGGGGGTGGGAAGTTGGGGAGAGATAGCATGGGGAGAAATGCCAGATATAGGTGAAGGGAATGAAGGCAGCAAATCACACTGCCACGTGTGTACCTATGCAACAGTCTTGCATGTTCTTCACATGTACACCAGAACCTAAAATGCAATTAAAAAAAAAAAAGAATTTGGAACAACAATATTAAGAAAAAAATCAAGAAGAGGGAAAGAGAACATTAGGAGAAAAAAAATTTCAGTAGATATCAAAACACTTCGTTTTTCAGAGTAGCAAATAATCCATGTATAAAACCTCAGACTTTTTAGGGAAATCAGGATGAGCCCATAGATTAGGCAGATAATGCAGGATATGACTGAGGTAATTCAATAGGAAAAAGGAGAGTCTTTTTACTATCTGTATAAAAGAATGCCTTGCTAATGGGGTATGAGGCATCCTGTCCTGGAACTTAGTGATGATGCTGATTTGTTGAGACCATTCTCTGCTGCTCTAGAAAAGCAATGGAAGTAATCTATTTTCTACCAAATATTTGTTTGGTTCATTATATTAATCTAAATGTCTCCTCTGAGTTCTTTAGAGTCTTCTTGTTGATTTTAAAAACAAAAAATTGAGAACCTAATATCTTAATAACTTGTTATAAGTCTATCCATCATTGGTTTGTTTTTCCAGAACATATTTTAACCATCTTTTAAGGAAAGCTTTATACATTCACTACTTCCTATAACTTTTTTTTGTTTGTTTTTGAGACAGGGTCTCACTCTCTCACCCAGGCTGTAGTGCAGTGGCAGGATCACAGATGACTGCAGCCTTGCCCTCCTGGGCTCAAGGATTCTCCCACCTCAGGCTCCCTAGTTGCTAGAGCTACAGGTGCACACCACCATGACCAGCTAATTTTTTGTATTTTTTATAGAAACAGAGTTTTGCAATGTTACCCATGCTGGTGTCAAATCCTAGGCTCAAGTGATCCACCTGCCTCGACCTCCCAAAGGACTATAAGTGTGAGCCACCACACCCAGTCCACTTTCTTAAAACTACTAAGACTGCTTAAACATACTGCTTTTCCTAGTTTTTTTTTTTTTCCTTAAAACCTTCTAGTAATAAAGCCACCCCTATGAATTGAGAGTTTTAGATATCTTGGAAACTGAGTTATTAGAATCGTAGACATTTTCAGTTTTTTTTAAATGTATCATTTTAGCAATTGATAGCAACAAGCTATATTCCAGATGTTTAGATTCAAGAGAGCGAGGCAGAGAGCTGATCCTATAGCCCTGTTCTCTCCTAGCACAGTCAAACCCTCTCAGCCTTCACTATTTGGTAGTGACTTATTTAATCTTGTATTTCAACCCAGTCTTAAGTATAACTTTGTCTGCTTTCCTTGCTTTTCTGTTATGCTATTTGTTTATTTGTTTATTTATTCAGAGGCAGAGTCTTGCCCAGGATGGAGTGTAGTGGTGCAATCTTTGCTTACTGCAGCCTCTGCCTCCTGGGTTCAACAATTCTCCCACCTCAGCCTCCAAGTAGCTGGGACTACAGGGGCATGCCACCATGCCCATCTTATTTTTGTATTTTTGGTCGAGACAGGGTTCCACCATGTTAGCCAGGCTCATCTTGAACTCCTGGCCTCAAGTGATCCACCCATCTTGGCCTCCCAAAGTGCTGGGATTACAGGCTTGAGCCACCGCACCTGGCTGGTTTTTCTTTTTTTTATTGGACAGCTATCCATAGTAAACTTTGTGATTTTGCGGCACATTTCTTTCTTCTGTGTTTTTAGCATTGCCTTGTAAAATAATCTCCATTTTTCTATGAACTTTTTATTTTAGTTAATCTCTATCAGCCTTTTTTCCCTAGCCAGTATCAATATTCCAAAAATTGAATAAACCCAGGGTAGATTTTTTGACTTTCTCTTTAGCCAGGGTCATAAATTTAAATATGTTGTGATTTCTACTGCATAATATTTCACACACTGAATTCTTTGATTTATAGATATTTCTCCATTGGATTGGATATTTTCCATTGATTGGATGTTTCTCCTTTATTTGGCTCTCAACCAAGTTTCTTCCTTTCCCTTTCTTTCCTTCCTTCCCCTCCCTTCTCCTGTCCTCCCTTCCCTTCCCAAGGAGGGTTATATGCATAATTCATGGGGTAGGTGAGCATCATTGCATATGCAGGGTGGAGTGCAGGGTGTGCAGATATAGTAAGGAATCATGCTAACTCATATGTTGATCATGATCAGAAAATCTCCCTGGGTAGAGATTTTAGTATTTCAGCCCTAGAGATTTTAGTATTACAATCCTAGGTGGGTATGGTATCAGTCGTGGTGGTGCTACACGTTCTGGGTGGTGCGCATGTGTGGAAAAATACATAAGTGAAGGTGAGCTGAGTCCCCCTCCCCACCCTATCTGACTATAACATGGTAGTCTGGAATGCTCTTCAGATATTTGATTACATGCCTTTGATGCCAGTTATGCCAGCATCCTCATTTTATGTGAGTCTTCCTATTCATTTAAAGGTTTTGGAACTTTTTTTTTTTTGAGACGGAGTTTCACTCTTGTCACCCAGGCTGGAGTGCAATGGAACGATCTCAGCTCACCGCAACCTCCGCCTCCTGGGTTCAGGCAATTCTCCTGCCTCAGCCTCCTGAGTAGCTGGGATTACAGGCACGTGCCATCATGCCTAGCTAGTTTTTTGTATTTTTAGTAGAGACGGGGTTTCACCATGTTGACCAGGATGGTCTCAATCTCTTGACTTTGTGATCCACCTGCCTCGGCCTCCCAAAGTGCTGGGAAATAGTATTTCTTTTATATCTGTCACAAATGGTTGACTTGTAGCAAGCCCTGTTCTCACTTGAAAATTTCCTTTCATGTTCACATTAAATATAATAGAGTGAAATAATTTTAAGTTTTTTTTAACTAAAAAAATTAAATGTCATTTATAATTTAGTTTAATATAGGGAAGTTTATAAAATAAAAAATGGCCCATACTGCTACTCTGAAATCCCTAATATTAAAAATAAGATTAGGCTGGCCTTGGTGGCTCACGCCTGTAATCTCAGCACTTTGGGAGGCCGAGGCAGGCAGATCACAAGGTCGGGAGATGGAGATCATCCTGGCCAACATGGTGAAACCCCGTCTCTACTAAAAATACAAAAATTAGCTGGGCATGGTGGTGCGTGCCTGTAATCCCAGCTACTCTGGAGGCTGAGGCAGGAGAATTGCATGAACCCAGGAGGCGGAGGTTGCAGTGAGCTGAGATTGCGCCACTGCACTCCAGCCTGGCGCCTGGCAACAGAACGAGACTCTGTCAAAAAAAAAAAAAAAAAAAAAAGATTAACATATAGATAAGTAGAACATTCAAATAGTACCAGTAGGTATAAAATGAAAGTCTAGCTTTTCCTCATGCCCCACCGACCTATCCCCTCTTAGATCATAGCTCCTTAAAGGTAACTAATGTCAATAGCTTCATATTATTATTTTTAAAATTTGTATGTGCATACTAGCATTTATGTGTGTTCAGTCTTCTATCAATCAACAATTTTATTCATTTGTTTATTCATCTAAAAATATTCATTGAGGGCCTCTTTTGTGGCAGGCAGAATGTTTTGCCCTGGGGATGTAGCAGCAAACAAAACAGAAAACATCGCTCCTCTCATGGCACTTAGAATCTAGTTGGGAAACAGAGACAAAAAATGTAAATAAACAAGAAAACAAAATAACTTCAGTTTGTTCAAAATGCTGCAAAGGAAACAGTGGTTTGATATTATGATGCAGTTAGGTAAGGTGGTTGATGAAGGCCTCTGCTTATACAATTCATTAAACTTTACTGAAAGAAGAAAAACATGGAATGACTCCGTTAATTTTTGATTTATGCTATTTTTATTTCTAAAGGTGAAACCTCACCTACCATCCAACTGCCCACACCTGCAGTCCAGCGCCCAAGCCCTGTCACACTTTTCCAGCCCAGCATCTCCAGTGCTGCTCAGGTGGCCGTCCAAGAGGATCCAAGTCTGCCTCTGCACCCAGCACTCCCACCCCAACGATTTGCTGGGCCTTCCCAAACTGATACCCTTCGGCTGCATTCTGAAGCCACTCACACTGTGAAGCGACCCACCCCTGTCTCTCTAGAGAATCCCAACAGGATTTCAACTAGTGCAAGTACTGCCCATGCCAGATTTGCAACTTCGACCATCCAACCTCCTAAGGAGTATTCCAGCGTTTCTGCTTGCCCAAGAAGTGCTCCGATCCCCCAGGCTCCTCCCATTCCACACCCACATGTCTACCAGCCCCCTCCCCTGGGCCATCCAGCCACACTGTTTGGGACACCACCAAGATTCTCTTTTCATCACCCTTACTTTCTACCGGGACCTCACTACTTCCCATCAAGGTAAATTAACATTTTTTTTCCTTTTACCTAAACATTCAGCTAATGAATTTTTACCTCTGACAACATTTAAAAAAAAATACTGAAAAGGGCACTTCTTGAATTCTGCTGAATAGGAGCCAAGCAGTTAACATAAATAGATGAAGAGGGCCAGGTGAAGGGGGTGGAGGCAGTGAGTGCCTGCTGTAACTCAACTCCAGCTGACTCTTGTTATGTAAGAAAATAGGCTTCAGGCTGGGTGCAGCGGCTCACACCTATAATTCCAGCACTTTGGGAGGCCGAGGTGGTTGGGTAACTTGAGGTCAGAAGTTCGAGACCAGCCTGGCCAACATGATGAAACCCCATCTCTACTAAAAATACAAAAAATTAGCCAGATGTGGTGGCATGTACCTGTGATCCCAGCTACTCGGGAGACTGAGGCAGGAGAATCACTTGAACCCAGGAGGAGGCAAAGGTTGCAGTGAGATCATACCACTGCACTCCAGCCTGGGTGACCATCACACAAAAAAATTATATATATATGGGCTTCAGTATTGTCAGATATAATTTTTCATGCAAAATAACTGTAAGGGACCTTAAGATCATTTAGTCAAAAGTATAGAGGCGTGCTGATTGTATAGAGGAGATGCTTTTCCAACTTTAATGTGCATATAAATCATGCTAGAAATTCTGCGTTTCTAGCAAGCTCCCAAGTGATTGCCAATTCTGCTGGTTTATGGACCACACTTTGAATAGCAAGGGTATAGAAGAGAGCATTTGGTCTAAGTGAAAAGTAAAAAATTTCCCATGTAAGTTACCAATAAAGAAATTGATTTTCATAGGGAGATATCTTAGGAAAACAATGTATAACTTTATTTTGGAATGATAGAAATTTATCTCCCTTGGAAGTATTCTGATAGAGTGGTATTAGCCTCTACTTTTCTTTTTATTTATTATTTATTTATTTTTATTTTTAAAGATGGGGTTTCACCATGATGGCCAGGCTGGTCTTGAACTCCTGACCTCAGGTGATCCACCACCTCGGCCTCCCAAAGTGCTAGGATTACAAGTGTAAGCCACCTTGCCCGGCCCTAGCCTCTACTTTTCAATTACTGTTAAACAGGTAGACAAAGATGGTTTATGTTGAGATTATTCTTACTTAGCAAGTAAATCTTCTTTTCACTAGGGTATACCTACACCTCAATAGAAACAACTTTTGAGGTATTTATTATGTTGCTTCAATTTATAATGGGATTACTTGCTTTTGGATCCTTAGCTCAGGACTGGAAGAAAGTGGAACCAGAGGATTAGATCAGGAGAAAGGGAAATGTCTTGTTATCTAGGGTTTGTTTTGTTTTGTTTTATGTAGAATCTTTTTATCTTTTGCAGCCTTAGTAAATATTTTAGTTCGAGGGATCAAACCTCAAGAGACTTTTAATTTAAGGCCAGGGGAGTTGATAATCTCTTCTCATTGCTATCTGCTAGGATCTAGGATTTTACAGGAATTTTGCATAATTTTACAGAATGTTTTCTAGATATAAGAAGGATATAAAGGATGTAGTTGGAATTTAATAACTGGGTAAAACGCTTGACCTTAGAACCTTGAGGCCTATAACAAAAATTGTGGAAATTGTATCTGTTACATAATTAATTTTGTAATATGGGAAATGTTTGGACCCTGTTTACTCACAGGATAGGTGAGGTGAAAAAGAGTCAATTACAATGGACTATGTGCCACAATCTCACTCTAGCTGTTACTGGTTTTTTTGTCTGTTGTATTTTTCTTCTTTTTAGTGTTTTGAGAGCTAAGAATTTTTACATGCAGTTCTTATAAAAAATCCTGTGACTTGGGTATAATATTTCCCTACTTTTTCAGTTATATAAATGGATTAATAAATAGCCTCATCAAGGTTATACAGTGGGAAAGCCAATAGTCAAATTCAGGTTTGTTTGATTTTGAATTTCATATTTGCCATTTTGTTATTGTTGAGACAGAGTCTTCTCTGTCGCCAGGCTGGAGTTCAGTGGCGCAATCTTGGCTCACTGCATCCTCTGCCTCTTGGGTTCAAGCAATTCCCCTGCCTCAGCCTCCCGAGTAGCCGGGACTACAGGTGCATGCCACAGCGTCCGGCTAACTCTTTGTATTTTAACAGAGATGAGTTTTCACAGTGTGGGCCAGGATGGTCTTGATCTCCTGATTTTGTGATCCGCCTGCCTTGGCCTCCCAAAGTGCTGGGATTACAGGCTTGAGCCACTGCATCCAGCCATATTGGTCTTTTTTTCTACATCAGTAAGATTTCTCATTATAATGGTTTCTCTTGATTGGCAGCTGTTAGTTGCTAGCAGAGAATCATATGGAAAAAATATACCTTCGAATAAAAAATTTACATGGTCAAGTAGAGGTTGGGGCAGGTAATGTTTCCTAAATATTACATAGATTAAATCATAAAAGTGTACCTTACTTATTCATGACAAGGCTTGTAAGATTTGGTTATTAATGTATAAATTATCTGACACACTTTTAAGTTAAGGAACGTTTTAAAAGGAAGCTCTTGAGAGTAAATTCTTTTTTTGTTTGTTTTTTTTTTTAAGACAGAGTCTCACTCTGTCTCCCAGGCTGGAATGTGTAGTGCAGTGGCATGATCTTGACTCACAGCAACCTCCTGAGGACAAGTAATTCTCCTGTCTCAGTCTCCCAATAGCCGGGACTACAGGTGCAGAGGAGATTTTTGTATTTGTATCTGGTTAATTTTTGTACTTTTAGTGGAGACAGGGTTTCACCATATTGGTCAGGTTGGTCTTGAACTCATGACCTCAGGTGCTGCCTCAGCTTCCCAAAGTGCTGGGATTACAGGCATAAGCCACTGTGTTCAGCTGAAAGTAAGTTCTCAGAAGTCAGAAACTATCTTTTTTTTTGTTATTACTGTTATTGCTAATTAACAGTAATGCTTTGGAAGAACCAAATGAAGTGAATAAGTAGTTATTATACTGAATTTTTATTTCTTTTTTTTTTTTGGAAAGGAAAAAAAATTGTCTTTAGAAACAACATGAACATATGCATACAAAATCCAACAAATCTACAAAAAACTAATGTATACTAACAAATGCTAATCACAGGCTACTTAGAGGTGTGATGGGAGGGAGGACTTACAAGGAGCCTCAATGAAACCTTTGGGGGTGATGGATATACCCACTGTCTTGATTGTGGTGACAGTTATATAAGTGTATGCCTATGTCAAAACTTGTCAAACTGCATGTTTGAAATATATACAGTTTTTCATTATGCCAAAAGCCACTAAAAATATTATTCACAATAGCATCAAATAACATGTTTATAAATATATTTGACAAAAGACATGACAGCCTTCTACCTTGACAAGTATAAAAATAAAATACTGCTGGGACATTAAAGACCTAAATAAAATGAGGAAGAATACCATGTTCATGGATTAAGACTCAATATTGTCAAGATGTCAGTTCTCTCCAAATTGATCCACAGATTTAATTCAAAGTCAAAAATCCCAAGATGCTGTCTTATAGAAACTGGTAAACTGATTCTAAAATTTATGAATATGCAAAGGACCTATAAAAGCCAAAATTTTCCTCAGCATTTGGAGCAACTAAGGACAATTCATGAGACAGATCAAGCTTAATGCCATCAAAATTTATTTCTGAAGGCCTTGCAATTGGATCAGCACTAAAAACATAAGATGGTCGAGATACTCCCTCTTGATTAAAATTAGATTCCACTCTGCAAAGGTCAACTGGCTAGCCCAACCCGCAAGCAGCGCCAAGAAGCTACAGTTTTCAAATTCAAACAATGGCGGCCCACTGAATTTTTATTTCATTTAGGAACGTCAGAGCAGTATGTCAACTATGAACTTAAGCTATGCATAGTTTTTCAAAAAAGAAGACCAGCCTTATCAATTACAATATTTTTCAGTTGTTTTTCTGACTTCTACCTGTATGTGTCTGATGATAATTTTTCCAAGGAAATAGCTAATCTATTTATGACTGTCTAGATGGTATATTTCAGTAAACTCTAAATGCCAAAATTAGTTGATTCTTTCTCAGTTTTTCTTTTCTCCTAACTGATAATGGAATCTTCTGTAAGGAATATTTCTGGGCAGGTACAGTGGCTTATGCCTGTAATCCCAGTACTTTGGAAGGCCAAGGAGGGTGGCTCACCTGAGGTCAGGTGTTCCAGACCAGCCTGGCCAACATGATGAAACCCCATCTCTACTAAAATACAAAAATTAGCCAGGCATGGTGGTGGGCACCTGTGCAGGAGAATTGCTTGAACCCAGGAGGTGGAGGTTGCAGTGAACCAAGATTACACCACTGCACTCCAGCCTAGGTGACAAGAGTGAAATTCTGTCTAAAAAAAAAAATGCCAGGCATGGTGGCTCATGCTTGTAATCCCAGAACTTTGGAAGGCCGAGGCTGGTGGATCATGAGATTGACAAGATCCTGGCCAACATGGTGAAACCCTGTCTCTACTAAATATACAAAAATTAGCCAGGTGTGGTGGTGCGCACCTGTAGTCTCAGCTACTCAGGAGGCTAAGGCAGGAGAATCCCTTGAACCTGGGAGACGGAGGTTGCAGTAAGCTGAGATCACGCCACTGCACTCCAAACTGGCAACAGAGCAAGACTCTGTCTCAAAAAAAAAAAAAATTTACTCCCTAATTTAGTTATTTATGTGTGGAATTATCTAACTATTTCAATGTTATAATTGTAATGGACATTTAAGATATACATATAAATATGTATTTTTTTGTGTGTATATATATTTATGATTATTCATTATTAAAAAATTTCAGCTGGGTGTGGTGACTCACACCTGTCATCCAGACACTTTGGGAGGCCCAGGAGGGAGGCTCTCTTGATCCCAGGAGTTGGAGACCAGTCTGGGCAATTTAGTGAGAACTTGTCTCTCAAAAAAAACTTTTTTTTCATTAGCTGGGCACGGTGGTGTGTGCCTGTAGTCCCAGCTACTTGAAAGCTAAGGTGGGATCACTTGAG